CGTTGTTGTTTGTCTGTTTCATGAATGACATGCCAAAAGCTATACACTCCTCCGTACAAATGTTTGCGGACGAAGCCAAATTATTTAGGGAAATTAAGAACCAAACAGACTGTGAAGAGCTGCAGAAAGATCTCTATGAGCTTCAACAATGGTCGAAGAAATGGCTGCCAATATTCAATGTCACGAAGAGTAAAAGGATGCACCTGAGTCGCACCAAAAGTAAGAAGGTGTATCACATTCTCACAACAGGACGAAGAGACTGCATTAATCGAGACCGAGTGTGAAAAGGACCCAGGTGTGTATGTCGACAATGAACTAAAGCCCTTGGGCCATTTTGAGAAGAAAGTGAATCAGGCAACAAAACTAGTAAGTCTTATAAGAAGATAGTTTATATATCTGGATTGTCCGTCGCTTGTTACGATCTTCAAAAGTGGGTGCTTCCCTGTCTGGAATAATGCCACCCCGTCTGGTCCCCGAGATATGATAGAGACTGTCAATTGATTGAAAATGTCCGAAGGAGGGTCACCAGACTGGTGCCATCTCTACGGAACCTCAGTTTCCCAAAGAGACTGGAGAGCCTGCAGTTACCTAGCTTATACTACAGACGGGCGAGGGGCGACCTAATTGAAGTGTATAAACTTCTCAGGGGACACTACTCAGCCGAATGTACTTGCCTGAAGCTGGCGGACACCCGCCCCACAAGGGGTCACAGCTCAAGGTTGAAGAAGCCACAAGTCCAGAAAACTGTGAGGGCCAATTTTTGGGGAGTGAGAATTGTGAACTCGTAGAACAATCTGCCAGAGAGAATTGTGACTGCACTGAGTGTGAGCTCACTCAAGGCCAGACTTGACCAACATTGGAGCAGGTTCCGATATATTCAGGAGCCGGTACATGCCCAGTACTTGCCAACGGTGTGTAACAAAGACGTGACAGATCGTCCAAACGGCTAGCGAGCCGATAAGTGGTGAAGAAGAAAAAAGTAAAAGATAAGAATCAAAAGGAAGGGTCCAAGAAGTTGTTAGCAGGGACTATGGGCAGGGAGGTGTGATATAGGGACCGTGGGCAGGGAGGTGTGACATAGGGACCGTGGGCAGGGAGGTGTGACACAGTGACCGTGAAAAGGGAGGTGTGACACAGTGACCGTGGGCAGGGAGGTGTGACACAGTGACCGTGGGCAGGGAGGTGTAACACAGTAATCGTGGGCAGGGAGGTGTGACACAGTGACCGTGAGACACAGTGACCGTGGGCAGAGAGTGACACAGTGACCGTGAACAGGGAGGTGTGACACAGTGACGTGGGCAGGGAGTGTGACACAGTGACCGTGGGCAGGAGGTGTAACACAGTAATCGTGGGCAGGGATGTGTGACACAGTGACAGTGACGTGGGCAGGGAGGTGACACAGTGACCGTGAACAGGGAGGTGTGACACAGTGACCGTGGCAGGAGGTGTGACACAGTGAGCAGGGGAGGTAACACAGTAATCGTGGGCAGGAGGTGTGACACAGTGACTGACGTGGGCAGGAGGTGTGACACAGTGACACAGGGAGGTGTGACATTTTTGGGCAGGAGGTGTGACACAGTGACAGGGAGGTGTGACACCGTTGGCAGAGAGGTGTGACACAGTGACCGTGGACAGGAGGTGTGACACAGTGACCGTGGGCAGGGGAGGTGTGACACAGTGACCTTGGCAGGGAGGTGTGGTCACAGTGACCGTGGGCAGGAAGGTGTGACACAGTGACCTTTGGCAGGGAGGTGTGACACGGTGACCTTGGGCAGGGAGGTCTGACACAGTGACCATTGGCAGGGAGTGTGGTCACAGTGACCGTGGGGCAGGGAGGTATGACAGTGACCTTTGGCAGGGAGGTGTGACACAGTGACCTTGGGCAGGAGGTGTGACACAGTGACCGTTGGGAGAGGACACAGTGACCGTGGGCAGGGAGGTGTGACACAGTGACCGTGGGCAGGGAGGTGTGACACAGTGACCTTTGGCAGGGAGGTGTGGTCACAGTGACCGTGGGCAGGAAGGTGTGACACAGTGACCGTTGGCAGGGAGGTGTGACACAGTGACCGTGGGCAGGGAGGTGTGACACAGTGACCGTTGGCAGGGAGGTGTGACACAGTGACCGTGGGTAGGGAGGTGTGACACAGTGACCGTGGGCAGGGAGGTGTGACACATCGTTCCCTGCCTGTAATGTTTCAGTAAAGGAGCAGTGATGAACGTGATCACACCAATTCAGTCTGACTCTCATAATTCTCAAAGATATTCTGTTTAGCTTGTTTCTTATGTGTTTTAGTGAGTGTTGTGACATACTGCTCTGACATGCACTTTGTATCTAGTTGTTACCTTAGGTCTTATCTCCTTACTAGCTCGTCTGATTAAAGTTAAAGAGTTTTCAGTGAGTTTGACTTAAAAAAATTATTTAATTTTTATTTTTTGCGTTTAGTTCCTATTTGTCCCATTTGTATCTTGACTAAGGTGTGTACAGTATATAATTTTCTAAATAAAGAATACTGGTTAGACGTCATAGTTTAATCACCATAAAATAATTACTTTCAATATAGTTAATTAGGTCATTCATTTTTATTTTTCAATTTTCCACCAGTTTACTACTTACTGTACTCTTGCCAATAGTCATAACAAAAGAGACGTATTTTCTTCAAATATATCTAACATATGTTGTATTCATTGTGAGGGTATTAACTGCAGTTACCCTCTCAATGCATACAGTATATTAATATACATTTTAAGAAACATACTCGTCTTTTGTGCCACCATGATTATTGCCAAAACAGGTCGGTATGTAGAGGATCACTTACCTAAAGTACACTTCTATCATACGCCCAATGTAAAATATTTTGACAGAGAGTAAACATTTAAAACCCCATTCAAACCCACCCAGAAGTGAGTTTTTCAGTGTTTCTTGTGAGTTTGTAATTACCAACCTTGCTTATTACTGATATGCTTTGTTACACTGTGGTAGGACTTAATAGGACCACTTATAATTGATCAACTAAAACTGTGACACAAGCAGCGAGTGCTGCCCACCACCATTTTTGGCCCATGGACGAATAAGGATTACCCTTGTTACCCCGATAAACATTAAAGTCCCCCCTTGTAAGTTTGTAACCCTAATGAATATTAAGAACTGCCCTTATCAACCTCATGAAGCAGTAAGGGCTGCCCTTGTGTCTCTGAAGAAGCAGTCAGGGCTGCCTTTGGCACAGTCGGGAAACAATTGTGAAACAATAAGGACTGTCCTTGGCACCCTTATGAAGCAGTAAGGGCTAACCAACTTTCCAGGCTGAGACTCACCTGATGTAGGCAAGAGTGGCTAGGGTGGTAACGATAAGAAGAAAACACTTCATGTTGTAGGTGTAGCAGATGAAGCTCTGAGGCCGAGGCAGTCACTCGCGGCCTTCATATACCCGGCACCCCTGCCTAATTCGACAGAGCCACCATCTGGGCCCCGCCCCCTGTTTCACTTGTTTCTCTTATACAATTGTTATCATTTTATTCAACCGGACTTAGAACATTCTTTGTTTCAGGTCTTTTGTGTATTCATGACGGTCTCCACTGATGATTAACACACGTGTTTTACTTTCAAACAAAGTAAGATGTTGACAAACATCTTTATTAGCTTAATATGCCAAAGAACAGATGTCAGGGACCATTGTCAGTAACTCAACACAGTGAAGTTATTAGTGACTAACATTGATGACAAAATAAGAGCTATAGGTATGACAAGGCGAATTACTGAGTGTTAAAACTGTTCACTACAATCAGCAAAACCGAGTTGCCGAAATGTTCTCAAGTGTTAAGTGATTATCACTTCAGCTGTGATCTGTGACTTTAATGAAATGATGAATTCGATGTTTACTTAAAGGACTTAATAACTTTGTGTTTATAGAAATTAGTGATAATGAAGTGTTATCCTTTAAATTAATTAGGTATGGCAATCTTCCCCTTGTCTAGTGAGCTTGTCACCCGTGTGGATCACTAACCGACCTGGACTTATCTTGGGATGTTATCTTGGGGTGTTCGGAGGGGGGCGGGGGACTGTATTCTGACTGTTGGAGTTACATTCACCCTAGAGCCGAGCATCGGATGATAATTATTATTCATAGCATGATATGCAATGTTATTACAAGTGCCTACTAGGTTGAACACCTACATTATTTTATTCCTCTTAAGTGCTTGCCAGTTAATGTGAGGAGAACGTCACTTTAATTCCATATACGACGCTAACGAGATAACTTTTGCTCATGCCCCGCATCTATGTCTAGGACAGCATGTTGGTACACTTGGTAAAAAAATGCTACCGTACAGGTGGGGTCCGATGAATTTCGAATTGAACAATGCACACGCAGGGCTACCAGGCCATTATCAAAAGCCTTCGTTGTTGGTGTCATTTTGTTTCGCACAAGAATTGTAACGATAGTTTTTTTACCGAGTACTTACCCTCACTGGTAATGTCAACACTTTCATTTTATTTAAGACTGCTATTAATGAAGCTGTCATGGAAGACTTGTTATTTACCTGTGTCGTGGAGTCCGCTCCACGCGTTCCTACCTGTCTTGCTGGAGGGTTACACAGTCGTCTGAAATGTGTGTGTTCATATGATGTAGAACACAACACATACC